GGTGCTACTGAAGTCAGTAACAGCCCAAGCAGCTGATAGTTACCTCCTGGGATCACTCCTGTCATGGTGGTAAGTAAGTATAGGCCAGCTTTGTTAGGCTTCCCAGTTTAAGGAGCATTTATTTAGCTCTCAAGTTCTTGTTCCTTGTTCTGAGTTTGGCGTTGTTTTGGTTATGCTATTAGAGACGTTTGTGTTAGTAAGAGCAAGAGCTCCAGTATGTTTGCAGTAGCTATTGGGATAGTAGGGTAGGTGTGTGCACTTCTTTCTGCCTGTTCCTCTGGAATGAACTTGTTGGCTGAGTGGAAAAGGGTTGCAGGGTAGTTGGAGTGACAAAACTGTAATGGGGGAGCTGTATCACGTTGCCCTCTCAGCAGAGTGCCTAGAAGAACAGCCTGGTGCGACAGAGCTGTTAAGAGCCCTGACTTTTGCAATGGGCAGATGGAGACCGGTGCAGAGAGGCTCAGTGCACTGACTGTTGCACTTCTTATCGGAAAAGAATGTAATTTGTTGCCATTTCAGGATTAGGTGATCAAGGTCTAAAAATAGCACTTTTCAGCTCCTCCTACCATTCTTTCTTCTGCTCATGCAATATGAAGGCCTGTTAGCTTCATATGATTTTCAGGCATCCTTCTGGATCAACATACAATCACTCTAACTCTTGTATATTTCTGCTTTTAATTATTACAGTGTTTATGAAAGTCAGATGAACCAATGAACTTGCTCCCAGTTTTCACTGAAGTAACCAAGAGAAGCATCACCCAAGCAGAGAATGCTGTTAATAAGCAAAAACTAAGGCTTGTTCAGCTGCTTCATTCCCTGGGCATTCTTCTGCTTTGGAGTGCAGCGTATAGCCAGCATTTAGGGTCTTAATGATTTGAGTTCTCCTTAGAAAGAAAATCTTGAGACAACTGGGTATGTTTTCTAGTGGAAGTCTGTTTTCCTGCAAGCAGTAGTTTCCCAAAGTAACAGTGGGGGAAACTCAAGCCAGCAGCCTTCTTGCTCAAAACCCGAGTCTGGTTTCCATATGGATAGTGTCCCCATGAGAAACTGTTCCTTGGCTTATTGCAGATTTTTTATTTGTACACGTTTCCCTTACTTGCTCTTTCTCCTACATGGCTACTACCGATTGTTCCCAGGGACTGGAAGACTGTAAGCAGTCCTAGGAAAAATATCTTTAAGATGCTGCAGCATTTTACTGTGCGGCTCATTGTTTTAACTGCTTTTATAGCTGTCTACCTAACTCCGTAGAGAATCAGTATTCTTTCTGCACGGTGTGATGGAATGTGCTGTGTTTCTCTCTAAACTCTCTAAAGATTTTCTGATGGCTGCTACCGATACCTTCCAACATACTTTTGTAGCATTTTATCTTTACATGTTCTGTGAGTGAGAAGAACTCTTGTGACTCTAATAATTTCTATGTGAAATGGATGATTGATCAACACAGTGCATTCTTTCATAATGGAACGTGTCCACGTTTCTGCATGTAGAGGCTTGATAGTGGAAGATATTCATTTAGTCTTTTGAAAATGTTTTAGAAAATCAAATATATAGCGATTTTGTTGTTGTTGTTGTTCTGATTTCCAAAGCCTAACTTAAAATCTCACAGCTGTGGTATTACTGCGGGTATGATACACCTCAGAAGAAATGTCATTAGTTATGGAATGAAACATAGAGCCTTCTTCACTCCAGTCATGGAGTCTGGTCAAAGAGAAACCCACGTTGTGTAGCGCTTATGACCTAATGGCTTCAGATCAAGCTATTACAAAAAGAATAATACTGGCTGGTAATTAGGTTATGGAATTACTTTTCAAGGAATCTTTGATTTACAACTCTTATATTGACAACTGAGAGGCTGACTTTCCAAAACAGAAAAAATGAACTGTTTGTTTGTGTAACCCAGATATGATGACATAATGTGAACTGAAGACTTTTACACCATGCAGCAAGATTAGATATTGTAATTCCAAGGATATTTTTCTTAGTGTCTTATCTAAATTAACAAGTTATTGCATTTAATCAGCTTCTTTCTTCTAAATTCATGGCCGTGGTTATTAGAAAATGTGTTGTTCAACCAATTTCAAATATATCTGATTCTTTCTAGAATTTTCAGAAGTAAGTTTTCCAGAAGGCCTTTCTTCCATGCCTTGCTCTTTGTGTAACTTCAGTTTTGTAATAACTTAAAAATCTCTGAACTTTCATTGCTTCCTCAAAACTTTTATACACTTCCACTTCCTACCATCTTGGTTAGTTATCAGATAAGAGATTATCTTGTGTCTCAGCTATCTTTATGTGAAACTACCAGAGGGCTCTGATGAGAAGTTCCCTTCTGGCTCCAGAACCCACGTGTATGTTTTTGTAATGATGTGCAACTCTTGCCGTAACAAGATGTTTAGCAAAGCTAGTTGTAGCTTCTGCATAGACACTGACCACAGCAAAAGGATCTTTTCTTGGTGGATAAAAATGTTCTTTCCTCCTGTAGGTACCTGCCTCAATGCCATTTGGTGAACAAAGCATCCCTCAGCCCCCTGGAGCTAGTGGAGGAATGGAAAATGGCCAGAGAGCTACAGCTGTTAGCACATCCACACATTATATGCTGCCTGGATGTGGGTTAAGAAGTTGTCTCTTTTGTGTAATGAAAGATAAAATGTAAATCAGTGGTTGCTCAAGCCCATTCCGGGCAAAGATCTTGCTCTTTGCCAGGGGCTGTGCAAGCCCCGATGCCCCAGCTACACGTAAGGCTGTCCTCGCTAGAGCCAACAGCCTCTGTAGGTTATATCTCCTTATCTTCAGCACATCCCAAAGAACTCCCTTGCTTCTAACAGCACAAATCAAACTTCTGACACCACATATAAAACCACACTGATAACCCTAATTGAAAGCGGTAAAGTTTGTACTAATAGGTGTTGTTACTAATCTTAGTGCTCCTTACCATGTTCTTCTGTGATGTTCATGAACCCACCAGTGTGAGCTAAAGCCCATCAGGTGAGCTAAAGCCTCATTGCACTGAGCATTGTGCAAGTATTCTGCAGAGTTAAAATTCACTTGGTTGAGGGATTATTTTGTTGTTATATGTCTTAGAAGGGGTTAGCACTCTTGGAGCATGGTCTCTAAAAGAAGGTTCTTTTCAGACCTGTTTATGCCCCCAACTCGTGGATAGGGCTGTGACATTTAGAGCATCCTTCCATGAGAAAGATTAGAGAATCCTTCATTCTTGCTTAGCACCAGCCTCAGCTGTGTAATAGTAAAATGATTTTTAATGGCAAGGAGGCAATGATTTTGATGCTGTTAGGGAATTTTGCTAGAGGGTCTTGGTACTTTTAGGTAATTCTTCAAATAATTATCCATGTTCACACAAGATTTCATCAAATTCACTGTCTTCAAAATAAAGAAGAGCTTTGGTTGGCAGTATTGCCAGCAAGCATGGGTCTTAACTCTGCATAGCCATGGAGCCGGATCTTCGGAGTCTCATAAAACGCACAGAGCTGTTTCCAGTGCCTATGTTCATGTTCCTCCTGCCGCACTTGGGTCATGAATGATGGGACTCAAAAGCCTGCTTCACTTAAAGGTTTTTCTCCTGCACAGCTCCCATGTGCTGATCTCCGAGAACACCTACCTGCTACTGCCTCTGACTTCCAAATTTAAATACCTCTGACCTCCTGTTGCTTGCGTTGCTCTGCTTTTTCTGTGTGTGTGCGGGGCACAGTTGCCGCCTCCATGCTGCCCTTCCTGTGCTGCGTATAACTGTGTTAATCATTTACCTGCCGTGAGCAACTCAGCCATTATTTCTTTCTTCTCACAGCACTCTCAGACTTGTACAATGATTAGGACAACCTTTGCTCCTGAAGTACAGCCCAGGTGAGGCCATTACTCTCTGAGTATCTAGTTTGAAGAGACAGGTAGTAGCTGTATCTAACGCTGTTGGCATCGGATACGTTAGGGCTGTTACCTTGTATCTGCTAATTGCTGTTATTTTTTTTTTTTTTTTTGCACCAATGACAGCAGCCTGACATTTTGAAGTCTGCAGGTGACCTACTTAAGTTTTGTTGTTATGCAGCACAGTATCCCGCTCTGTGTCAGCCAAGGGAGCCCTATCAAGCATGGGAAAACAGATATTACCACATAGGATGAGCCTTAGTTGCTTGAGCTGTGCAGCCGCAGCCCTCAAGACAAGTCAAAACTTATTAGTCTGAGGTTTCCAAAGGCTCTGCCTAAGAAGGGATGTGCTGACTTTTAAGGTCTGGCATCTTTGGCTGATATCTTAAAAACTAATTTGAACTAAAAATCAGGGAAGTTTCCAACTTTTGAGAATTAAGTAGTGGGGGTGGCTTTTTTTTTTCTCTCCTTACAACTGAGACATATGGTATTACTCAGTGCATTGCTGTATTTCTATATTTCTCTTTTAGCCAAACCCAAGTTTTTGAGATGTCTTCTTAAAAGCTCAGCATAATTCTCCAGAAGGAGCATAAAGCAAACCTGGAACCTTGAGCCCTCCTCCTTATCACCAGCCTAACCCATTGCTCAGTAATGGGACTTTCCATAGGATCTCTGTGTTTCTCCATCCCTGTCCCACTGCCTGTTTCTCAGTCCCTCGCAGTGTTTTCTCTCTCATAACCAGCTTTCTATGCTGGTTCTGCCTCCTGTGCTCTCAGGCTTCTTGTGGTTTCAAACTCCTCATCGCTCTCCAACTTCGGGAGCCCTTCTGCACTCACACGCGCAGACGTTGTCGTCTCTCTGGGGTGAGATTGGGACCTGAAGCTTGACTCTCGTAGCTCAGTACAACAAATTGTTCAGCCTCACAGCTTTGCCTCCAGTGGACCTCACTGCTCTCGGACTCCTGAGCACGCAGGGCTCACGCTGGGATCCTGCAGCTCCCGGCAGTCCATGTGCAGCAGAGGAAAAGCCGCCTCAGCCGCTCCTGCGAGACGGGCCCTTCTCGGGGCCGGGGGCCGGGCGCTGGGTGAGCGCGGCGGGGCCGGGCCGGGCCGGGCCAGGGCGCCGCGCACTCGCTGTCTGGCGGCTGCGGGGACAGGTGGGGCCGCGACGCCGCCGCGTGAGTGCTCCGGGATCCCCGCTACCTGCTGCCTCCTTCTCCTCCTTCCTTCTCTCCTTCCTTCCTTTCTTCCTTCCGCGGGGGGTGGCCGCGGGGTCCCGGCCGGGACGCGCTAGTCCTGGCGCCGGGAGCGGGGCGGGATGGGGCGGGCGCGCGCGTTCGGCTCCCGTTCGGGTTCGGGCTCCGGCTCCGCGGCGGGGGCGCGAGGCCCCGGGCGCCGCCCGGCCGCGCTGCGCCCCCGAGCGCAGGGCGCGGAGCCCGTCCCGCAGCCGGCAGCGCCCGAGCGAGCGGTGCCCGAGGTCTCCGCGGGGCGCGGAGGGGCCGCTCCAGGACGCGATTCCTCTGCCCCATCTGTGCCTCCCCACGGGAGATGGAAAAGTTGCCGGGAAATGGAGGCCTCTCTCTGCAGGGGCTGCGACTGGAGCCAGCCGGGGAGAGGTGTGGCCCTGTGGTTACGGTGGCATTAAAATGTGAGGCTGGAGGGGCGATGTCTGCTCTGGAGCTGCCTGGCGTGTCACACATGGGGCAGCTCTGCCCTTCTCCTCGGTGGGATGGGACGGGACGGGTCGGTCACCGCTGGGGCGCCCGGTGGCAGTGGGCACGTTGTGGAGGCAGCGGGACGAGGGGACGAGAGTGGGTGCTGGTCGCGCGGCTGGCCGGGCTGCACCCGGGCTCATGGGCTCGTCCTCTGCAAGCACCGTGTCTGAGCTGGGATGTTCCAGGTGGATTCTAGGCCTTACTGACCCCAAAATAGCACTGGGTTCCTCTTAAACACGTATGACAAAGTGCCAGCCCACTCTTAGGGACTTCTTTGCTGGCACGTAGAGGAAGTCAAGCTGCCTAGAGCTGTTGGAACACAGGAGCACCTTACAGCCCTGCGTGGTACCCTCTTTCCTCACTGTGCTGTTTGCTGGTCCTTCCCGGGAGTGAGCGCCGGATTGCCGGATTGCCGTGTGGGAGTAGTTGGAACGAGTTTTTCTGGTTGGCAGGAGCAGCCGGTGCCGAGGGCTTGGGAAGTCGGCGCTGCCTGGTCTGCCCGGCTGCGCGGCCTCCGGGGCGCGGGCTGGCGCGGGCTGGCTCGGGTGCCGCTCTCCTCGTGGTTCATTTGCACTCTATTTGGCAGCGTGGATGTACCCTGAGAACGCTTTTCTTTGGGCTGGGAAAAGTTTTATTTACCTATATTTATTCTAAGCAAGTGCAGAAACATAGGATAAGAAAACCAAGACAAACATTTGCTCTGAGTCCTCCGAGGCAGCTCCTCTCTTGCAAGGGCAGGGGAATATCACAGCCTTATGGTATTTCATTATAATGTGTCAATCAATTTTCTATTAAATAGTACTTATTAGCAACTATGGTGAGGCAGGTTGTAGTACAGGAAGCAATATTTATGGAATGTGTTGGTAACAATGCCATGGCATTAGTCAAATAAAACATGCCAAATAGGACTTGATTAGTTATGAAGTTAGCTGAGTACTGTGGCATGTCTGTCAGCTAACTATGTACTAGTGAAAGAACTAACCAGGTGTATTTCTGTGTCCTGACATAACCTGCTTGCCCCTGCTGGCTGCTGTCCATGTTGCTCTTAACACTACTCTCTTCCTGGCTTTGTTTCATGCTGTTGCAATAAACAGGATAACTTTTTTTTCTCTTGTTTTATTAAGAAGCCTTTCCAACTTAGCTTATTGCAGGATTTTCTTTTTTCTCTTTCTCGTGGATCTGTTTTTACTCCTGTATCATTTTATGTTAAGGTTTAAAGCTTATCCCCTCCGCTGCAGGGGCCTGGCCGTGCCCGGCTCCCGATGTGCGGGTTCCCGAGCCGGTCGCAGACGCTGACTGAGGCAGAGGAACAAACAACCCCGCGGCCGCGCGGGAGGCGTGTGTGTGGCCAGGGGAAATGTGGGAAGTGGCTCCTTTGCCGCATTCAGGTACAGGAAGCGAAAGGGAGCTGGGATCCTTCCTTTCCTGGATCCTTGCTGGCTGCTTGGGAAGCCGGGCGCGTTTTGCAGCCTCCTGGCCCTGCCGCACAGGGTCTCTCGGCGCCAGGCTGGGAGCGCTCTGTGCCGGGGCCAGATGGGGTAGTTTAGCTGCTCGGGATGGGACTGAACTACCCTCGCTGGCTTTGGCTCCACACAGCAGGGCCTGGTGGTAAAATACAAATTGCTGTGAGCTGTGCCAGGGAGACGAGGATGAGCCCATGGGGTGGTGCCCGATTTCAGTGCTGTAGCTGTTTGCAAACACCACGTTATGGCTTTAGTATTGGCTTCAGGACAGTGAGTGTCTGATGTTACTTCCCTAATCCTGTGTAGCCAAAGTGGAAATACTGTCCCTCTGTTCCTCTTCCTATTTGCTTTTCACTCCTCTTCTCACCTTGAGTCACAGGAGAACAGTACAGGGGCATTTTATTAAATATTCCTTGTTGTCTGACAACATCCAGCACTTAAACTGTTCAATTAGCATCTTTTTTTTTTTTTTTTTTTTTTTTTTTTTTTTTTTTTTTTTTTTTAAATTGCAATTCACGGATGCTTCCAACAGCAGCTTCCTGAGTGTTTGGTAGGAGGCTGCTCTGAGCTTGGGAGCTGCCCTGAAACTGAAATAGCGGAAGCAGAGCCCAGGGAAACTCGAGCAGGGATGGTCAAGAATGATTATTGCCATAAAGAAAGATTTAAAGCATATCATGCAAGCTTCACAGTTGTTCTACACTTAATTTTAAGAGCTTTCTGCTCATTTAGAAAAGAGATTACATTAAAAGCTAGGCAGTCTAGTGCTCTCCATTGCTCTGGAGAGCGGATCTGCTTGGACTGGGGACAGAAGAGGCAAGTGAAACCCGAGGACCTGGGGCCTCCCCTCAGGAAAGGGGGAACCTTGGGCTCAGCCCCGCATCCACATAAGGCCAGTGCAGTGTCAGTGGTGGAGAGAGACCTTTTATTGCTTGGAAATGCTGTATTATTAGGAGAAAAAAAAAAGGCATGCCATTAACAACAGTAATTGTTATGCCTGATTGTTCATGTTAACTGCAGTTCCCTTATAGGGCAAGACAATAAAAGCAAAGCAGGTCAAAGAGCGAAACACTCTTCCTTCTTGTAAACTGAGCACCTGATGATGGACTTCAAGACTTGAATAGTCATGTAGCACTTTTTCTATTTTTCTGATATTTAGATGAAATTCGCGAAGTAATAGAAATTACCTAAACTGATATTAAATCTGAAAGCTTCAACCCTAATGAGAAACACAACAGCAACTCAGTTATCTCTTTGCCTTATCACCTGTCTTTGGTTTCAGTGCTTAATGTTGAACTTTGACCAGGAAATGTGAGGCTTTTATTTTTTTAATACATATATATATATACTAAACCCACAATTGATGTAGTAAAATACTTTCCATGTGCTCGTGGATGTGTGTATAGCTTTTTATTTCATTATTTTTTTAATATTTAACTTGTCTGTCTGACCTAATCTTAACTGTGTGTCAGCTGTATTACTCATCAAAGTAAAAGCAATGAACGCTCTTATCTCCACCCAGCTAATGATAGCAACTTAGACTAATTACGTTGCAGCTTCTCGAGCATTTCTTTTATCTTAAGTGCTTATGTCCTTGTGCCACTTTCTGTTATGCTGGTATAACCCTTGGTGGGGGCCAGAGCTTGGCTGCTTTAAGGACCTGGCCTGGGTTAGAAATACCCTGTTTTGTGTGGGGTCATTTCCCTTGGTCTGTTTCCCATTCTGTTTTATTTTGCAGCCACTAAAGCAGTTGTTCCAGCACAAGCAAAGGGTGATGTGGGAGTAGATGTGAGGAATGGGTATAGGGGTGGATTAAGATGACATTGGTGGTATTAAAAGTGCTCCTAAAATTATAAACAGCCTGTGAACCATCAGACTTGGTTTCCTTGAGCAGTCAGTATTTGAGAGTCGTCCCTTGTAGCAGCTTTATGAAGCCCTATATGTTGCTTCTCTGTGTTTAATAGCGTTGTGAACTCTTTGCCATTTGGATTATCTTTTATATTGATATGGTGCCTTGTAGATTGGGCCCAGGGCTTGAAACCTCTTTTCAAAGCCTTGTTTTGTTTTTTTTTAAGGGCAATGAATATGAACCTAATTCCACTGATGCACTGCAAAACACATGCAAACAGATTGTATGCACAGTGTGAAGAGTTTAGAAGTTCTCCTAGGCATCTCCTGGACTGGAATTCAAGAGAAAGCCAGGATTGTAACTGCTGTGTTTGTGGGTATGGCTGAGATTTTTTTTCTAAGTCAAAACCCAGCCCACTAAATAGCTTTGCTTCTTTCATTCTTTGTCTTCTAACAAAAGAAGGGAACAATTTATGCTGGAGTCTGAAACACAAAGATGATTTTGTTGGTTTGGAAGTGATTTGCATTGTATGATCCTTCCTGAAACAGCTTAAAGCAAAGCCACAATAACCTGAGTCCGTGTTGCTTTTTTGATGGAAAAGCTCTCTCTGTTTAATAAAGTTTTGAAATACAGTGCTCTTAAATCTGATTTTTGTGCAAGATCTTTATAGCTAAGGCTTTCCTTTGTTTCACTTGATAAAATGCATTTTCTTAATCACAAGTATTGGCAGAAGCATTAAGAGCATCAGGGTTATAGGTCAGACTTATAGACTCATTCAGTTAAGTATCTTGATACTTGATACTGAGCTGATATATGCATGTATACACCTCATATATATATATATACACCTGATTCTTGTGTACTGTGGTTTTATGACTAGATATGGATAGGCAATGTGGAAATGCCCATCATTTATTCAGTAGCTGATAATGTTGTCTTCTCCTGTAAAGATGAAAACAAGGTGCCTAAACTTAAGAGTATTTCAACTGAATACTTTAGTATATCCTGCAGTATTTACATTTATGACATACATTATAATTCCTTTTTTATTTCTAGATGGAAATGTATGTATTAAATTAAATTCTCTAATCGCAGTCAGTTCTGTGTCATGTCTCATCAGTACTAAAATAAGCTTCACTTTTGAGACCTATAGA